CAATTACCATCTGCTTTAACACTAATTAATCCAAGTCATTATATTATGACAATTTCAACGGCAAATATCATTGAAATTGAATTTAAGTTAGAATATGGAGTGGGATACAAATTAGCTTCCCAAACTATTTTGGATGAGGATGAAAACTATTTACAATTAGATACAGTTTTTATGCCAGTTCAAAAGGTCGACTTTAAAATTGAAAACGTTTACGATGAAACAAATACTAGTACAGAACGATTGTTCTTAGATATTTGGACCAATGGGAGTATTTTACCAAAAGACGCATTGAAATCTGCAGCGCAAATGACGATTGATTTGTTTACTTTACTAATTAAAGATAGTGACACAGTTGAAACTGAGTCATTGCCATTAAAAACTCCATCCATAAATATTGAACCGTATACGAATATCGCAATTGAAGAATTACAATTGTCAGTTCGATCTTACAACTGTTTAAAAAAAGCTCAGATTAACACTGTTGGCGACTTATTACAGTATTCACCGGAAAAACTTCAAGAGCTTAAAAATTTTGGTCGAAAATCATCCGCTGAAGTTTTTTCTACATTAAAAAATAAATTAGGCATTATTTTGAAATAATGCTATTCTATAGTCAGTTAGAATTATGAAATAAAAATTATGGATTCATCAAATAAAACATTTTTACCTACTCAAAATTATAAGAACCGAAATTGGTATCTGATTGATTGCAAAGGACAAAGACTAGGTCGCTTAGCAACTACTATTGCTAGTCTATTAAAGGGTAAAACAAAAGCTCATTATTATCCGTCGGTAGATACTGGGGATTATATCGTGTTAATTAATGCGGATTCTATTTTAGTAAATGATACAAGTAAACATTATCTTGTTTCAAATCCAGGTCGACCTGGTCATTCATTAAAAATTCGTAAAGTTACAGATTGTCTTCCAAAACTAACGATTGAACGAGCTGTGAAACGAATGTTATCGCAAACCGAAACAAAACGATTAATGAGACGGTTAAAAATTTACAATTCCGAACATCATACGCATCATGCGCAAAACCCAATTGAAATTGATGTTACAAATTTCTATTCGAGCATAAAAGTTCAGAATTAATCACTCGTTTTTATTAATCAACAGAAAATTATTAATTAATTAATTTGAAACTATTTATGACAAAATTAATTTTTCAAAAAGAAAATATTGGACTTGGAAAACGGAAACAAGCGGTTGCACGCGTTTTTTTAGTTCCTGGTGAAGGAAACTTAATTATTAATAAAGTTTCCGGAAACAAATATTTACAATATAATGATACGTATCTTACTACGATTTGGGCTCCGTTAAAAACCTTAAAGATTGAAAAACAATTTGATATTTTAACATTCGTCAAAGGAGGTGGCTTAACGGGACAAGCAGAAGCTATTCAATTAGGTGTAGCAAGACAATTATGTCAAATCAATGAACAAAATCGAGCTAGTCTAAAACCATTCGGATTTTTAACTCGTGATTCACGTATTAAAGAACGAAAAAAATATGGTTTACGAAAAGCACGAAAAGCTCCACAATATTCAAAACGTTAAAATTTTCTAGGAGAACTACTATGCCAAAATCAGATATACATCCAAAATGGTTTCAAACGACACCCGTTTTATGTGATGGTAAACCTTTATGCTTGATTGGTTCAACAAAACCTGAACTTCAAATTGATATGTGGTTAGCCAATCATCCATTTTATACAAAATCACAAGTTATGATTGATAGTGAAGGGCGGGTTGAAAGATTTATGAAAAAATATGGTTTAAATTCTACGGATCAATAATATATTTAAAATTACTTTAAAAATTTTATGCCAACTATTCAACAATTAGTTCGTTCAAGACGGATTCAAATAAAAAAAAAGACAAAATCACCTGCTCTGGTAAATTGTCCACAAAGACGCGGTGTTTGTACACGAGTGTATACAACAACACCGAAAAAACCAAATTCTGCAATTCGAAAAGTTGCCCGTGTTCGATTAACTTCAGGCTTTGAAGTAACGGCTTATATTCCCGGGATTGGTCATAATTTACAAGAACATTCGGTTGTATTAATTCGTGGAGGGCGAGTGAAAGATCTACCTGGTGTCCGCTATCATATCGTTCGTGGAGCCTTAGATACAGGTGGAGTAAAAGAGCGAACACAAGGTCGTTCCAAGTATGGTGTTAAAAAACCTAAAGCGTAATAATACCTACTTATTGATTTACCGAAATAAAAATATTTAATAATTATAGTTTATGTCACGTCGAAATATTTCAAAAAAACGTTTTCCACAGACTGATTCAATTTATGATAGTTATTTGGTTAGTCTTTTAATTAATCGAATTTTAAAATCAGGGAAAAAAACAGTTGCTAAAACTATTGTCTATGAAGCGTTTGAAATCATCAAACAAAAAACGGAGGAAGATCCATTGAAAATTTTCGAAACAGCAATTCGAAAAGCTAGTCCAGTAGTAGAAGTAAAAGCAAGACGAGTGGGGGGATCTACCTATCAAGTTCCTGTCGAAGTAAGTGGATTCCGAGCTACCAATCTTTCGTTACGATGGATTATTCGATATTCGAAACAACGAGTTGGAAGAAGTATGTCTATCAAATTAGCCAATGAAATTATTGACACCGCGAATGAAATTGGTAATACTATAAAGAAAAAAGAAGAAACACATAAAATGGCAGAAGCAAACAAAGCATTTGCACATTTTAGATATTAATTTTACTTGCAAGACTAACTCGCTACAAGCTAAAAATTAAATTGTAATTTTTTAAAACTGAAAGGAATTTTATAATGGCACGTGAGAAATTTGAACGTACAAAACCGCACGTTAATATTGGAACAATTGGTCACGTAGACCATGGAAAAACAACTTTAACTGCTGCAATTACAGCTACTTTAGCATTAGAAGGGAATTCAGTAGTTAAAGCTTACGCAGATATTGATGGTGCACCAGAAGAACGTGCGCGTGGTATTACAATTAACACCGCTCACGTTGAATATGAGACAGAAAACCGGCATTATGCCCATGTAGACTGTCCAGGTCATGCTGATTATGTGAAAAATATGATTACTGGTGCTGCACAAATGGATGGTGCTATTTTAGTTGTTTCAGCCGCAGATGGACCTATGCCTCAGACACGTGAACACATTTTATTATCAAAACAAGTAGGTGTTCCCGATATTGTTGTCTTTTTAAATAAACAAGATCAAGTAGATGATGATGAATTACTAGAATTAGTAGAACTAGAAGTTCGTGAATTATTATCAGCATATGATTTCCCAGGTGATGATATTCCAATTTGTCCAGGTTCCGCTTTACAAGCAATTGAAGCTATTTCTGCAAATCCTGATTTAAAGCGTGGAGATAATAGCTGGGTTGATAAAATCTTTGCCTTAATGGATGCTGTCGATGAATATATTCCAACCCCTGAACGTGACACAGAAAAAACCTTCTTAATGGCAATTGAAGATGTTTTCTCAATTACGGGTCGTGGAACGGTTGCAACTGGTCGTATTGAACGAGGAGTTGTAAAAGTTGGTGAGAACGTTGAAATTGTAGGAATTGGTGAGACTCAAACAACAACAATTACTGGAATTGAAATGTTCCAAAAAACTTTAGATGAAGGTTTTGCAGGTGATAATGTAGGAATTTTATTACGTGGTATTACTCGTGAAAATATTGAACGCGGAATGGTATTAGCAAAGCCTGGAACAATCACTCCTCATACAACATTTGAATCTGAAGTATACGTGTTAACAAATGATGAAGGTGGCCGTAAAACACCATTTTTTACCGGTTATCGTCCTCAATTTTACGTTCGAACAACAGATGTAACTGGTGCTATTACAGATTTTACAGCCGATGATGGATCAGCTGTTGAAATGGTTTTACCTGGTGATCGAATTAAAATGACAGCGGAATTAATTTACCCTGTTGCGATTGAAGCTGGTATGCGATTTGCAATTCGTGAAGGTGGCCGTACAATTGGCGCAGGTGTAGTTTCTAAAATTGTTAAATAATTAAAAAATTTTATGGAAATAAAGACGAATGCCAAAATTCGTATACGATTAGAATCTTTTAATCATGAACTTTTAGTTTCCTCATGTCGAAAAATAAGCGAAACATTAGATATAACTTCATTAAATTCTCTAGGAATGGTAACATTACCAACCTCGAAGAGAATTTACTGTGTTTTGCGTTCTCCACATGTGGATAAAGATTCACGAGAACATTTTGAGATTCGAATTCACAAACGGATATTAGAAATTAATTACGATCCTGAATTACCAATTATTGATTTATTAACGAAAATTGATTTAGCTCCTGGAGTGTTTTATCGTATTTGTTTATCTTAAGTAAATTACTTAAGATAAACAAATACGATCATTTGAAGAAAACTAAACCAATAGAATATATAATTATATATAGACTAAATTCAAAATAGATCATGAAAAAGAAAGTTAAAACTCATTTAAAGCATGTCGCTTATGCTTTTTTATCTTTGCTAGTTGTTATAGGACCAAGCCCAGCAAGGGCACTGGACTCAAACGATGTGATAAACCAAACACTTGCGAACGAAAGTAGCAGCGATATGATCAAGGAGGCTTTAAACTTGGCGTTACAAGCCGCAAAAAGTAAACCTTTACTGGCTGTAGCCACGTCAATAACGTGCTTAGCTTGTGTACCGGCGTCTGGGGTCGCTGCGATTCCAGGTCTGTGTATCGCCTGTGGAATTTTAATTGCCAAAACTTTTGGCTAATCTTGCAACGAAGAGTCCACTAGAAATTTTTAGTGGACTCTTTTCTTATCTTCGTATCATATCTGTATGGGAACGGAGGGACTTGAACCCTCACGCCTATCACTAGGCAACGGATTTTAAGTCCGTCGTGTCTACCAATTTCACCACATTCCCAATTAAAATTGCTCTAACATACTTTCTATAAGGTAACAAAAAGTTATCGTGGACACAATAATATAGTTTTATACTAGAAGGCGGCACCCAGATTCGAACTGGGGATAGAGGATTTGCAATCCACTGCCTTACCACTTGGCCATACCGCCAACTATTTTCATGAAAGAATTTTATTATTTTTTAGTCAAATTAATAAAATGAAAAATTTTTTACTCTTAGGAACTAACCCTTTCGAATTATAAACGGAAATACTACATTAGTTTGGATTGGATGTCAAGGTACTCCAGCAAAATGATTTCGAAGAAAATAAAGATTGTTTTGAGAAGAGTACGAGTCTAAGTAGAAGATACTTTAAGTTTCTTTTAAATAAATGATAAACGTAAAATCTTGTTTATCATTTATTTACGTTTATCACTTCACTTAAGCATGTATGGTCTACCATTTTTTGGCAAGAATAAAAAAGTGATTATGAAATCCAACCATAACTATGTAAGCCTTTTCCAAGGAAATTGACTCCTAAATAACAAATCCAAATGACAAAAAAGCCTAAACCGCCAAGAATCGCGGTTTTTTTCCCTTCCCAACCTTTTGTAATTCGAGCATGAAGATAAGTTGCAAAAACTAACCAAGTAATAAGTGCCCAAGTTTCTTTTGGATCCCAGCTCCAATAAGAACCCCAAGCTTCATTGGCCCACACTCCTCCTGAAATAATCCCGATTGTTAAAAATGGAAACCCCAAACCAATGATCCGATAACTCCAGTTATCCAGACTTTGTAATAATTTCATTTTTCCAAATTCAGAAATTTCAGAAGATGGCGATAGTATTTTTGTTTCATAATATTCTAACATCACATTATACAAAGGTAAAGCTCCAGTCTGGTTTGTTTTTAGGTCAATATCTTTATAACCAGATATAACTAAAAATAAAATACATAATAACGAACCCATTATCAAAGTACCATAGCTCAATAACATCATACTTACATGTAGCATTAACCAATTTGATTGTAAAGCAGGGACTAGAGGGCTTGATTTTTGCATTTCCGGAGAGAGAGTTAAATTTGCAAATCCACTAATTAATAATGTAATCGGAACAACTATCGCACCAATTAAGCGACTGTTTGTTTTTGTTTCAACATATAAATAAGTAGTTAGTAAAATCCAAGTTAAAAAAAGCAAAGATTCATATAAGTTACTTAAAGGAAAATAGCCAGCAACAATCCAACGTGAACAAAGAATAAAAAATAGAAAGATATTTGCTAAACTCGTACTAATTCGACCAATTTGAGATAAGAATGATTTATCATTCAAAAATAATAAATTAATCCAATAAATTATCATGGAAAAAAGCAACACTCCAAAAACGATATTTGATAAAAAATTTTGAATCTCATTCCAATCCATGAAATTTCTCCAATAAAAGTTTTTTATAGAAATAATTATATACTTACCATTGTACCAAAAATAATTTGATTATGAATATTTATCGACTTCTTATCTTGGAATCACATTCACTCTTTCATCAGTATATAAAAAATTTCCATTGACATTTGGTTCAACCTATAGGTATCATTATCTTACTCTTACAAAATTATTATCGTATGTCAGTACAAAGAAAATATGAAATAATGATTCTTTTAACCGAAGAATTTAACGACAGTGAATTAAAAACTTGGGTCTTCAACTATGCGAAAAATTTACGGAAATTTAACGTCTGTGATATTTCTGTAATTTCTCGCGGAAAACATAACTTAGCATATTCAATTTTCAATAAAAATAAAGGAAATTACATCCAATTGAACTTTTCAAGTATGCCAAAATATTTAACGACTTTTTCTAATATTTTAAAATTGGATTCTCATGTGTTACGATTCTTAGTTTTCAACAAGGAAAAATAATTGATAAAAATTTAATTTTTATCAATTATTTTTTAAAACTTGAGATTTAGAAATGGATGATCATTAAAAAAGTTGTGTCGGACATTTGTTTCTGATATACTATAGTTTTATAATATATCCTCAGTAGCTCAGTGGTAGAGCAATCGGCTGTTAACCGATTGGTCGTAGGTTCAAGTCCTACCTGGGGAGTAGTCAAAACCCACAATCAACGATGAAATATGAAAACTAATACGGATAAACTAAAAATTGGAACGAAATTGTTTAATTCTCGGTTAATGCTAGGAACTGGAAAATATAAAACAACGAAAGACGGAGTGGATAGTATCGCTAGTAGTGAATGTGAAATTGTAACCGTCGCTATTCGACGTTTACCAACAAATTTAAAAGATGATACAAATAATTTTTTAAATACTTTAGATTGGAAAAAACTTTGGCTCTTACCAAATACAGCAGGGTCGCAAACCGCAGACGAAGCAATTCGAATGGCTTTTTTAGGCCACGAGCTTGCCTGTCAACTTGGACAAGAAGATAATTTCTTTGTCAAATTAGAAGTTATTTCTGATCCAAAATATTTATTACCTGATCCAGTTGGTACATTGAAAGCAGCTGAATTTTTAATTAAAAAAGGTTTTACAGTTTTACCCTATATAAATGCTGATCCTATGTTAGCTTTACATTTAGAAGATTTAGGTTGTGCAACAGTAATGCCATTAGGGTCACCTATTGGTTCTGGACAAGGTTTAAATAATTTAGCCAATATTCAGATTATTGTTGAAAATGCTCAAGTGCCAGTTATTGTCGATGCCGGAATTGGAACTGCTAGTGAAGCAACCCGGGCTATGGAACTAGGAGTCGATGGAGTTTTATTAAATACCGCTGTGGCACAATCCAAAAATCCTGCACAGATGGCATATGCAATGAATTTAGGTGTCAAAGCAGGAAGATTAGCTTATTTAGCGGGTCGAATGGACAAAAAATATTATGCTACTGCGAGTTCGCCTTTGGCTAACATAAGTCCTTTTGATAGACTTTCAACTAATTCTAACTAGATTATATATTGATTATTTTGAAAGTTGACTCAAAAATAATAGAAATTAATGTATAATATTTTTCTAGAGTGAATAGAAACTATTAAAAGACCAATTATTTAAACAATTTCTATGTTTGAAAAATTTACGGAAGGGGCAATCAAAGTGATCATGTTGTCACAAGAAGAAGCTCGACGAATGGGCCACAATTTTGTGGGAACCGAACAACTTTTATTAGGTGTTATTGGACAAAGACATGGTATAGGCGCGAGAGCACTGAAAAAGATGAAAGTTACTCTTAAGAAGGCACGAAAAGAAATTGAATTGTACATTGGTAGAGGAACAGGTTTTGTTGCTTCTGAAATTCCTTTTACGCCACGTGCAAAACGAGTTCTTGAAATGGCTGTTCATGAAGGAAAAGACTTGGGGCAAAATTTTGTTGGTACAGAACACATTTTACTAGCATTGATTGCCGAATCAGATGGGGTTGCCATGCGAACGTTAGATAAATTAGGTGTAAATATTCCACAACTGAGAAATTTAGTATTAGCTTATATTGAAGAAACTCAAGAAGAAATCTTACGACCATTAACACAGGCTGAAAAATTTTTATTAGAACGTGAAAAAAAAGGTAGTCCAACACCTACATTGGATGAATATGCTGAAAACATTACCAAAGAAGCAATCGATGGAAACTTAGACCCAGTTATTGGTCGAGAAAAAGAAATCGATGATGTAATTGCAGTTCTTGCTCGTCGAACAAAAAATAACCCAGTTTTAATTGGTGAACCGGGAGTTGGAAAAACAGCAGTGGCTGAAGGCTTAGCACAGTTAATTTTGACTGAAAAAGTTCCAGACTTTTTAGATGGTAGCTTAATTATGGCTTTAGACCTTGGTTCTATTTTAGCTGGAACGAAATATCGAGGGGAATTTGAAGAACGATTAAAACGAATTGTGGAAGAAGCGCAAAATGATACTGCCGTAATTGTAGTAATTGATGAAATTCATACATTAGTTGGAGCTGGTGCAGCAGAAGGAGCGGTAGATGCAGCGAATATTTTAAAACCAGCTTTGGCTCGTGGAAAATTCCGTTGTATTGGGGCAACAACAAATGATGAATATCGGAAATATATTGAACGTGACCCAGCATTAGAAAGACGTTTTCAACCAGTCCATGTGGAAGAACCAAGTGTCGGAACAACGATTGAAATTTTACGAGGTTTGCGATCAAAATTTGAGCAACATCATACTTTAAGTTATCATGATAAAGCTTTAGAACAAGCTGCAATTCTTTCGGATAAATATGTCGCTGATCGTTATTTACCCGATAAAGCAATTGATGTATTGGATGAAGCAGGAGCAAGAGTTCGATTAGAAAATCGTCGTTTACCCTTAGGTTTACGAAGTCTGATGAAAGAATTACAAGAAACAATTCGAGATAAAGAAGAATGTATCAAAGAACATGACTTCGAAGCAGCAAAACAGTTGTTGGATCATGAAATGGAAGTTCGGACTCATATTCGTATCATGAAACAATCTGCCTTAACAAATCAAAAACGTGGGTTCACGCGTCATGAAGTTGATATGGTTACCGAAACGGATGTTTCCGATGTAATCTCAAACTGGACTGGAATCCCAGTAACAAAAATTACGGGCTCTGAATCAGAACGATTATTGAAAATGGAAGAGACTCTTCATGAACGAATTATTGGTCAAAAACATGCGGTTGTAGCTGTTTCCAAAGCAATTCGTCGTGCAAGGGTAGGATTACGAAATCCAAACCGACCAATTGCAAGTTTTATTTTTGCTGGTCCGACTGGTGTCGGAAAAACAGAATTAACGAAGGCATTATCAGATTACATGTTTAGTAGCGAAGATAGTATGATTCGTTTAGATATGTCCGAATATATGGAAAAACATACTGTAGCTAAATTAATTGGTTCACCACCCGGTTATGTTGGTTATAATGAAGGTGGACAATTAACAGAAGCCGTTCGTTCCAAACCATATTCCGTTGTATTATTAGATGAGGTTGAAAAGGCTCATCCAGATGTTTTTAATTTATTATTACAGATATTAGATGACGGTCGGTTAACTGATTCGAAAGGTCGTGTTATTGATTTTACAAATACATTAATTATCATGACAACGAACTTAGGAGCAAAAATTATTGAACGAGAAAGTGGAATTAAACCAAAATCCGAACAAGGAGAACGTGGGTT